CTCACTTATTTTCCCCCTCCTTCCCCTTCGTCGTACTTTCTTTCCATCACCCACCACTTTCCCAGGCTATTTCCCGTCCGGGTGCTCAAAACAACGCTTTAAAGGATCTCCGTAAGCATACACCCGAGAGAAAGATGAGTGAGGTACTCAAGGACCTGCGGGATTGCATTTTCTCGGCAACGATCTGCCGTCCTATAAGCCAGCACTTGAGCTGTATTGTAAGGTAGCGTGTTATGTTTTGTCATTCGCATATTTCAAGTGTTCAATCTACAGCTGAGTGATCTGCAATCCTGCCGGGCTCAAGCATACCACGAGATGGATTCTAATGATGCACCGAAACCTGGAGAGCGAGCGAACGACGACGATGACGACGACGACGATAACGATCGAAACAACATCAGCAGCGACGGGCTATTGGGCAGACTGTTCTGGATGCACCTTCCTAGTGGATCCGTCGATGGAATTGGCAGCTGTAGACTTTCTTTCAATATTTTACGTCAATCGGACTTTCTTGCGAATCTTGATCTTGTCTATCAGGTCGTGTAGATGCGGAAGGCCCATGCCATCCCGAATTACCTCCCGCTGAAGAGGGCCAAGGACGGGGAAGACCCCGTGCCCAAAAGCTGGCAGGTGGTTATCGCTTCGAAGAGAATCTAACTCACTGCTTCATCACGCTGCTCGGCAGGATGCAATCAAGGAAGAAAGAGCAGGTTTCTTCGTGCAGCTCCTTCCAATGCACGCTGATGGATCTTTCCTTGAATGCGCACTACCGCCCTGGCCTACTTTTCTCTCCACTTCACCGTGGACGACATAGAACAATTCAACTTCAGCTCTCTCCGTGGCTCGTCTTTCACACTTTATCACAGCATCTCTTGCATCCCTGCTATCGTCAAAGTCTACGCATACTCTATACAGCAGTCTTCCATCTCTCTGTAATCAGTTCTTTTTCGTTGAAGCAAACAAACTGCGCTCAAGATTTCCTCCACCAGCAATACACACCCCAGCCGTTCCTATAGCGGCAGTAACAACACAGTAGATGAGAACAATACTGGCTCTGCTCCTATCTCTGAGCTTGGCTCTGCTCCTATGCCCGAGCCTGGGTCTGTTATCAGCAGAAGCAATGCCTTCATTCCAAAAGCCCCTGCTGGAAAACATAGCTCTGGTGCTCACCCGGAGCTCACCACCGCTACCGCTGTGGAGGCGTTGGGACTGGGTGATCCAAAGGACACCGATGAGTCTCAAGTGCAAGACGACACAGAAGTGCAAGATGAACCTGTGCATAAGGTATCTCATTGAAATTGATCAAGACAGATGCAACAAACCTCGAGATTCAGCGTTTGGCCTCCTTCTGCTTTCCTTCTTGCGGCTGGTCTATATCGTTGACTGGCGCGCTACTCTCAGACTTCTGGGGTCTAGAAGACCATTGGAGATTTACTCTTCAGCTGTAGTCACAGCGTTTTGATCTCATTGGAGAATTCGCGGGGAAACGCTGTATTCGTGGCTGCCATGATGGAAGCCACCATTTTCGCCACCAATATGGTAGAAAAATACTTAGCTACATCTCCGTCAAACAACACAGCTCCTCCTACGGTATCCCTTCCTGGGCTGTAAGGCCGAATCATTTTCTGCAGTAGCTCGGAGACAGCCAATACGGGAGACGCTTTTCTGTGAGTAGCAGCGGCCACTCTGATTCATTCCATGAAACACTCTGACAAGTCTACAACTGCAGATTCCGAAGCCTGCCGCTTTGATTATACTATGGCACTGGATTCTACCACCGAGCGGCTGCTTTGCGGCCTGCTGTGTTCGAAATCCATGCATTGATTCCGGCATGGGTCATCGACCTGCGTGTCGTGCTAAGCATGTACGAGTCCTGCGCAAATGCAATGGTGCTATTCCGGAAAACCTGGCTCAATTGGATTTGGATAAGGTCATCAGGGAGGGGATCATGTTAATATTCATCAGCGTACATCATTGAGAAGCGTTGCTCTACCATGCGTGTCTATGAAATGGATTCGACCAGTTCAAATCTTCGTGTGAAGAATTCAGGTCCAATCATTCGCTTCCCTGCGGATGAAGCGAGGGTGACCAGAAGCACGCGACAAGGTCACCTATCGGCCGCTGCTTGTTTGTCATGAAGGTGGAGTAGCGCATGTCGCAGCTCGGCTCCTTGACAAACATGCAGCTTTCATTGACTCTTTCGTTGGCTTACCACCGTGCTCACATGCATTCAAGTGTCGGAAGAATGAATAGGCCAGAGATTAAATCTAGCCATAGCCGCCTCCCTGCCGCCAAAAGACTCTCCAGTCTCCTCTGTTCCGGCTACCTCCTGAAGAGTGGGATGGCTCATCAGACGAGCCAGCCCGAAGACGATGCGACTCTTCAATACTTTGTCTGTTCTCGGAGCGATGATCGTCGTTGTCAAATGCACGAGTTCTCAGCCCTACAATGCTGGCTTATCACCGACTCCGCCTCCAAGACTTGAAGCCAGAGACAGCCTTACCAGTAAACCGATTAATATTTGCGGCTACTACACTCTCGAGAATGACAAATGTGCCAACTCTCTCGCTCGTAATAACGTAAACTATGGGCTGACTAGTTCACAGTAATTAGAACACACCAATGTCCGCCGAATGAGGCTTGCAAGATATCTGACGGGTTCATCGGCTGCAACAATATCGCGTATTCGGTGTGCGCGAACGCACGGGAGATCCAGGGTTGTCAATCTGGGAAGACAGTCGGCGCCGGCACACTTTGTTGGTAAGTTTGAGAAATTTGGCTCCTCAGCACATTCATAAACTAACGGTGATAGTCGCGAAATTTCCGGCTGGGTGCCGGCATGCCAGACATATGTTCGAGACGATGCCGAACTAGGAATCAAGAAAATGTACGGATGCCGCGATGTTGCTCTCGCCTGGGATAAGACGGTCACCTTGCACTGGGCAACGAGTTTACTGGTTCAGATAGACTCCATCACTCTACCTGGGCCATTTACGACAACCACCGGAAGCATCTTGGCTGCTGGATCTTCTATCGAGGCCCGGACATCTGAAGCTCCGGCGATATCTTCCCCTACAACAGAACCTGCGCCTATTTTGCTCTCTTCTTCGGAATCTTCTGACACAAGCAACAGAAACTCGTCGTCTTCACAAGCTGGGGTCATTGTGGGAGGTGTCATAGGTGGTATTGCCATTATAGGCGCCATTTCGTGCTTCGTCCTTTGGCTTTTTGTCCGGCGACGTCGAAGTCTAGAAGGAAAGGCAGAGACAGTGGGCAGACGGCTTGAGACATCGATGGCTGAGCTTCAGGGGGACGAGCCTAATGCTTCTGAGAATAGAGAGCAGGGTGAGTATCGGCCTACGGCGTTAGTACCTCCGGCACCGCCAGAGTCGCCGGTCATCAGAGTGTCGGCGCCCAGGATTTCGACCGCTTCGGTATGTAAGGCGCCTTCAGGCAATCAGCTTGGTAGCCCAACTACGCCGGCAGAGCTGGATTCATAGGTTCGCATGTTGGTAGCACAGGCTGGCGTTTGGTACGAGAGTATTGGTAGAGATAATGTTAATTGGCTCAATAATTCGATCCCACTTCATGACTAGGCTGTTGGTTGCCAAACAAACGTGGCAACAGATTTGGGTTCTCGCTTGAAGACAAAGAATCCGCCCTTGTTAGCATCGCGAACGTGGCAAACAATACCACCGGGCCATGGTTCATCCATGCAAGGGCCAAGAAGATCTCTGGGCACGATCACTGATGGCCATTTGAAAACAGGGCGTCTCGAATGCCATCATCAAAGAAACGAACTCGACGGACACAAGGTTTGGTCATTCGAGAATTGTCAGGCGGAGTAGAATGTCTCGACAAACACTCACAAGAGGATGTTAAATCGAAGCCCTCCTCGGCGGGAGGACAAACACTCGCCCTTGGACCGTCTCTTTCATTAACTCCGCCACTGAGCCGAGACGTGCCAAAGGGTGACGATGAGAGTCTCTCCGCTTATAACTTCTGAAAGTCTCTTTTCTCGAGGCATACCATTGCTTTATCCGGTGATGAGCCAACCTGCCTTGATTTCCACCCTTCCTCGTTCTAATTGAGCAGACCAACCAACAAGATGGGAAGTCCAGAGAATATGGTTGGACATCAGCGGCCGGCCACCCTTCCTAAGACTACTTGTGGTATTCATCATTCGAACAGCACGGTCTACCATGACGGCGGAAGTAGCAAGCAAGACGTCTTCGAGAACAGAAAAAACAGACACGATGGTCCGAATAACAGCAAAGACCGCCAAAGTCGGAATGAACGAACTGGAAATTTGAGCCACCAACGCGAGCACAAGCTAATTAGGAACATCCGTCCAATTGAGAAGGGTAACGGGTTTCAGGATGACGGCAAGTGGAAAGGCTCCCTTGGCAGCGTTCACAGTCGTGGCGGCCATCTCGATCGGCCGAAAAGAACTCAAGCACGAAGATCCAGATATCTTGCTACCGGCATACCACCAGCGCCGACACCAACACCTGACCTAGAGTTGAGGGCCATGTCGATTCGCCATCACGAAACTCTCGGGTCAGACACCTGCGGGTTCTTCACTGTGAGCCATGATCATGGTACGGCTCAGCTTTCCATGTTTGAGATGAGAAAACTAACAGGTTGCTCCATGAAGGTTTGATGACTCGCGTATGCGATGATATTGCATCCGACTGTTCGGCCTGGGGTTCATGGCTGGGGTGTGGGTATAGACCATACACAACTTGCCTAGGGGGCGCTGCCCTTGAATGCGCGGCCGGCAAGACTATCGGAAGTCAGACTTTGTGTTGGTACGCCGCGCTGCTTTTCCCTTTGCTCACTTGATACTGACATTCATATGAAGCACCTCAGCTTCTGGATGGCTTCCAGAATGCCAGACCTTTCTCAGGGATGATGGTGGTTTGGGCACCAAAACGCTCTTAGGTTGCCGAAACGACGACGTTGTATGGGACGCGACCGTTTGGCTGCACACAGCAGCAATGGAGGCCTTGGGGAGCACTGAAGTACCAGCAACGACTTCATTGGCGTCTTCAGTCGTTCCATCTTCTACTTCTCTGATCTTGAGCAGTCCAACTGCACCGTTGTCGCCCATCAGTGAGGCGAGCAGTGGCAGCTCTCCGACCCCGGTAGGCCCTATTGTCGGCGGCGTTCTCGGCGGCCTCGCCATTCTTGCTATTGCCGGCTGCATCGTAGTCTGGCTTATTGTGCAGAAGAAACGCGGAACATCACGGCCATTCAGGAGGTCGACAGTCGTCCAGGAGCTCCAGGGAAATCACAGCCCTCATCATGGACCACAGACTGAGGGCTGGTACGGACAATCCAAGAGCAACCCCGCCTCGCCCACTTCTCCAGTCAACACCCCGATAGCCAAAGAAGTGTATGAGGCTCCTGTGGTGGAGAAGCCGGTGCAGCTCCCCGCGACGGTCAATTCGGTAGGCAGCCCGAGTAAGCCGGCAGAACTCGGATAATGGTTTTTGGCATGGCTCAGAAGGGTCAAGTTTCGTCTGGCAGTGATGAAAGGTTGGAGGTGTTTTTCAATTGTATATGGCCTTCCAGCTGTTCATAGTAAATACCGAGTAGCTTAATGCGAAGTATTAAATACGGTCACTGAAATTGCGAATAGCTTCAAGCCAGGCCAAGACACTCAGTTAGCCTTGGGACGCCACAAACTGCCGGAAATGGGTTGAATCAAAACAGATCTTCATGTAAATTATGGTATTTGGGCCCGCATTGAATTGGCTTCATTGCCTGAGACATATAAACACGCTGTGTGGCACATATCCTTGCGACTTTTAGAAAGCTGCTGTCTTAGCCTCTCCCTCGCGAACTAGCCAAGACCTTTTCTCCCTTGGATGCGAGACGACTTCAGAGAAGATGGAGGACTTTCTTTCAACTTGAACTATGATTATATGATTGTAGTTCGAAATCATTCCCTACAAGAATTGACCAATTTATCAAGTCCGTTTATCTCAGCTGCCTCACAAGATTTGCTCATGTCTTGAGGGCTGGCTCGGCATCTTTATCAAGTATCAGCCTGCGTCGTCTTTGACTCTCACTAATGCCTTTTTAGTGGCATGAGCGTCCAAAATATCTAGGCCTGATCAGATGGCATGGAACCTACTCTACCCGAGGTATGCTGCCTCATTCCTCATCATCGGCCACCCAAATGTCAGAGGCAGATATTTGGGACGGGACGTTGAGAGTCACATGAGATGCCAGTGCCTTCTCTTTTGCTCTCTCCAACTCGTTCATCTGTAATTGACCAACATATGTATGCATTGTCTCCCAGAGCGGTGGCCATTTTATCAACGTTGCTGTGATCCATACCCGTTAGTCCGACGCAGTCCCTCAACCGTGAACGAATGATGCGTCTGTATCTACTTCTTGTACTTCCAACCGGTGCTGTCTGTCTCTTACAGCCAGGAAGACTGACGGACGTTGCAAACCCGTTACCGGCCCGCCGCACACCCATCGGCGATGGCTTCGGGTTTGTCAAGAGGGCGTCGTCGCCCGCTCCGACTGCACCGCCGATAATACGATTCAGAAATGCGCATGTCGACCGGCGAGCATCTGAGAATACCTGCGGATTCCTAGTGAACTCGGCAGAAAGTTAGTGGTGCTTTTCCAAGATTCTTCGTCACAGGTGCCCTTCTGACGCAGTAGTAGCCGAGCCTCAAGCACTATTCTGCCCAAGTACGACCTGTATGACCTCAGGATCATACATTGGATGTTCCCCTCAACCGTATACTGCTTGCTATGATGGAAGTGCAGGGATATGTCGAACCGGCACACTAGGCCCTGGGACTCGATGCTGGTATGCTTTCCTTGGCGATGCTTTTTCATATAGGACGAAAGAACAGCCAGACGAAACACCACGCTTGGCTTCGATGTGACTAATAGTCGAATCCGCAGTACCGCGAGCACCAGCGGATGGCAACCCCAGTGCGTTAATTGGCGGATGGAGAATCCTGATGGCGAGATGACCTATATCGGATGCTACAATACCATGCTGTCGGGCTTGAATACGAACAGCATATTCCTTGTCACAGACACAAGCCTCCTGCCGTGGCTGTTACCCCCGCCTTCTACCACTGAAACATCCCCCTCGACCGATAGTACAAGTTCACCCACCGATTCGGCCGAGTCCTCGCCGCAAACTACCTCCACGGGTCTTCCAGATTCAACCGTATCTTTTTCATTAGCTGCACCATCAGAGACTGGTGGTCCACCTCCCGTGGGGCCACCGGTCGGTGCCATTATTGGCGGTATTGTCGGTGGCATTGCTGTTATTGCGCTCATCGTGTTCGCTGTAGTTTGGTTCACGATGTATCGAAAGAGGAGGCCCTTACGCAACAATGGAATGCAACCGCCGACGGCACCGCATAAACAGCCGGGGATTGTTGTTCAAGTTCATCCTGTTCCGCCTCCGTCTCATCATAAGCAGCCGCGATATCAAGCTCAAGCTCAACAGCAACGACATGATCCTGACCACAAGTCCAAGGTCTACTTCCAACAACATCCGCTTGCCTTCTCCTCAAAGCCACCATCATAGTAAGCCAGCTTTCGCATTTTGGTGGGAAACTTTTGATCGTGGAAATACTCGGTCAAATATTCCGAACTTGCAAGTATAGGGACTGACTTAAATACTTTTGAAGATCCAAAGTCACGAAATCGATTCATTCTTTCAGGTCCTCTCCTCGAACCATCAAATTCTTTTACAAGCACAAGGTGTCTCTGAGATGGCAGCGGCACACAACATGGAAAGTTGATTGAGAGTCGGACACTAGCTTAGACCAGGGGCGGGTAGGTTGCGACGGCGGCCATGTCCCGGTCGTCAGCCGCGATCCTTCACTCGCTGGCCTCGGAAGTCCCCGCTACCGAAGGCAACAACTTGGCGGTAAAATCCTCGCCACGTTTGAGCCTCTTTGGCCAATCTGCCATCGGTCCGTTTTGGCCTGTTAAGTCCTTGTTCCTTGTATGTGAGTGGCTGTTGAGGCTTAGATCAGGTCAGACCCCTCCTGCAATAAGAAACAACATGTCCAATGAATGTGCATCAGTGACCACACTAAGTAGTTTGTATCTCGGCTACTTTGATCCTCAAGATACAGTTAGATGGAAAGATTTTGGTTGGCTAGCATTTTTTCAAAGATTGAGTCCGCACTGATCTCAGTTCCTCGCGACGAATGTCTAAAGACATTCGTCGTTAACGCGGCTTCGGTAGCGAGTAGTCTAGGCAAATTAACATCTTCGGGATATCCACGAACTGTCTTGATCATCTTTGTTCAGGGAGTCTCTATCGAGACTTAAGCATAACCCCCATGAAGCTAGCGCTGCCACTGGCGTCTGAAGCCTGGATCTCACGTTCACCCTAAATATATCATGCTCACCAGCCAAGCCACCTCTCCAATTTTCTCGGCAAACTACGGACGCCGTTGCATGAGACCAGGCTGCAGTTAATCATAGGGTATTGTCGATCTAATGCTACGGCACACCTTTTGGCGGGCCATTGGCCGATCAATAGTACGCTTGTGCTGATGGTTACACTGACCTACGATTCCTTCGGCTTACTGCGCCACCAGCATGAGACGCAGCAGAACGTGAGACTTGGAGAGATAAAACACTCGTTGCCCCTTTTACCCAAAATTTTGAAAGGTTTAGCCAATCTTCCCACAGAGACAGTCATCCACGATTTCAATCTAGGCCATCGATGCTAATCTGCGACTTCAAGATGCGAACTGCGACAGTGCTGGCGGCCGCCGGCCAGATTTTAGTAGCCATGGCAGCAGGACCTTTGGCTGGAAATGACCGATTTGCGCGGCAGACAGTCGCAGCGGGGGACAACGGGTACGGTTATGATGTGGGACAGTCGCCGGTGCCGACACCCGATCCCGCCCGGGCACTGTGGGGCCGGATGCCGGACCTGGCCGGCCGCGCCGAGTCGCTTGGGGCTAATACCTGCGGGATTGTCACCAACGGGCCAAGGAGTGAGTCGACTCTTTCATAGAACATGTTCCCCAATGCTAACCGTCGGAGGTACCTTTCCAATCACTTGCGCCAGTCGTCCCTGTCAAACGAATGGCAACTTTATGGGATGTGATAAGCAACCCTTTACCAAATGCTTCCTCAGCTCGGCGTCGCAATGCAAACAGTCTTCACTAGCACCAGGCGTCTTATGCTGGTGAGTTATTTGTTGTCTTTGAACCAACTGCCTACTGACACGATACAGCACGCAAACCACGAACGGCTGGACACCCCGATGCGCAACCTTCTTGAAAGACGACGGCAGATTGGACTTTAGAACGCGATTGGCGTGTGCGCACTCCAGCTTGAGCGGGACCCTGACGATGACGATGATTGCAGCCACCGACGAGGCGGCCTTTTTCAGCAGCGGCGGTACAGTGACGGCAACGGATCCCATGCCGACGGTCTCGTCCCCGAGCGAGACATCTTCGCCGTCAAGTGGTGGCTCGTCTTCGAATACGGGCGCAATTGTGGGTGGAGTTGTCGGAGGTGTCGCTGTGGTGGCCATCGCAGCCTGCGTCATCGTTTGGCTGGTCGTGCGAAAGAGGCGAGACGCCAGGAGCAAGACTCCGCCACCTCCGGGGCAAGAGCCTTATTTGAGCCCTGGTCAGAGCCATGCTCCGTCTTCGAGCCCGCAGTACCACTACGCGGGGACAGAAGAGCAGTACAAGTACCAGGCGGTGCCTCCCGTTTATCCGCCTGCCCCGGTGATCCATGAGGCACCCGGGGACACGCAACCTAATAATAGCATCCCTCGAGCGGAACTGGAAGACAGACAGGTTGGGAGATGATAGGCGAGATACTCTGGGCATATATGGCGTTTGACGGACTTGGGAAACGACTAAGGACATAGGCACCTTGGCGTCACCGGCTGGCAGCATTTCTTCAGCGGCTATACCATTGTTTCGCGCAACTTGCATAGACTTGAGAGACACCTAAGAAACACGCGTAATCAATAAGTGTCAAAAGGCTTATGTTCAACTGTCATTTTTGTGGGATTAAACAAGTTTATCATGGCGGTTCATCTTGTCCATGTTGAGTTATTCTAAAATCACGAGTCCAGGCATCTTGATGCGCTTTTTAGGGTGTCATGGCTTCGAAACGTTTTCAAAAGGAATAAGAAATTTTAAACGAACGTTAGGTGAGGCACAGGAGGCACAGAACCTAAAAAGGGTATCAGTCCTCGTGGTTATGGTTGGCTCTGTTGGTAGATCACAGTTCCCTCGTGTTTGCACCCTCCAGTTCCAAACAGTGCTGTTGCCTGTTGCGACTTGACCGCAATTTCAATATGCTCTTCGGAGATTAAGCATATTGCTTTGCGGATTGCTTTAAGGAGGAGTGGTGACAGACTCATGGTTTCGTCGCTTCCCATCGCAGATATTCTTTCAACAACAGACTTGACCAAAGTTAACCAAGGTACAGAATGCGTCAACATTCCACCATTGAGCCCCCGGCTAAGATAAGCAAAGACAACTTTTTGGCATTTCTGTCACATTTAATACTACGGCCGCAAGCCTTAAGCCGAAGGCTGTACTGCAGCCAACTCATCGCACCCCGGCAGTATCGTCAGAGAGTCCCAACCATCATTTGACCGTCCAACAACCAACGAGACCAGGGTCAGTTGCGGGCCTTGCTGAAAACGAAACGACTTCCGCACATGGAAAACTCCCGACATGTTGGTACACGTTCAAGGGTAAAAAGGACCGGGCATGATTGGAGAGTTGTTGTCGCGTTGGATGTCCTTGATATATACAAGGCCACACCAGCCCCCAACATCATCAACCTTCTCCCCAACCGCGGACCGCCAAGACTCGCTTTTTCAGGTCAGCATCTGGCAAGGCGTTCTCAAGAGAACCTGCAGACGCAAAATGCGACGCTCATCGAGCCTGCTGTTAGCTTTCATCAGCGCATGCTGCACAACCTCAGCCAACCCGCTGCAGAACAGCCGACACAAACAACACGCGCCTCCACGTCGCACGTCTCCCGCAGAAGTATTCGGGTCCACCGAGGACACCGCGCCGGTCCCGACACCAGCTCCCAAGCTTCGATATCGAAATGCAAAGATCGAGCCTCGATCGAAGGGCTCAGATACGTGTGGATTCTGGTCTTCTTATGGAGAAAGTCAGTAACGACTCGTGACATAAGGGATTGTTTCCAACATTGACTCTTTTCTAGCCGATTGGCAGACTCTGGTATGCAACACTGCGGCATCGTGCCAGACGTCAGGGACCGTTTTTGGATGCCGCGACGAGCCATACACGGGATGCATAGACGCGAGCAGCCCGTCAAGCTTGACATCTTTATGCGGGAACGATGAATCTTACGACGGGAATATTTGCTGGTACGTTGGGCTAAATCTTCCGGCGGCCTGTTTACCCAAGTATTGCCATGATAACTGATGCTAATGGGAGTTGCTAGCGTAACGGTTGCTGAGCCGACATGTTTCATGTTCGTTCAGAATTACGGATTATCGAGTACGGTCACAAATCATAGATGCTGGCAAAGCAAGTTTGGGCAATGGAACGCCCAGTACCTCGACACAACTACGGGCTCGATTGCGATCACCTCGATTGTGATAACGAGGACTGCCCTGGTGTTAAAGACCCTATCATCAACTGCATCCTCGGCAGCGGAAGCTGCATCAGAATCATCTTCTTCAGGCGGTTCAGGCGTGTCAGGCGCCGCCGTCTCGACGACTGGTGCCATCGTGGGTGGTGTTGTCAGCGGCGTCACCGTGATCGCCATCGCAGTCTGCGTTATCGTCTGGCTCATACTCAGGCATAAGAGACAACGCAAGGAAGAATATGTGCAACCCATGACACCGGGTCCTCTAGAGCAATTCTCCATGCAGCCGTACGTCGCCTCCCCCGGTCCCGGTACGCCACGCTATCTGAGCGGATTCTACGAGCCAGAAAAATACCAGCCTGTGCCGATTATCGACCCAAGTTCTCGTGAGGCGCGAGGATCGCCGAGCATCAGCCATAGCAGGGTCAATGATAATGACAACGGCGATCGAATTGAGCTCGCATCATGAGATTTTGATGGTAGGTGTGCATGTATATTGGAAAGAAGATGTCGTTATTAGGCGATGGGGGATGATATCAGCTGGGACAGTTGGCCATGTTGTCTAGGATTGATGAGAGATACCATTTACTTTCGTAGAAATCAACCGTTACTGAACTCAACTTGAAGCTTTGATCGCTCAAACCATGCTTGAAGTTCCAACCCATGGTAAGCACAAGAATCCTCCATAAGTCGGTCTCGTGACACGACCTGGTGGCAGACAGCCCCCGAGGGATCTTGGAGGAGTCGGGCAGTCCGACTCTTACACCTTGGCAGCCTTGCCATGGCAGACAAGTGAGAAATCCAATTGGATGGCTTTCCCATAACTTGAGAGACATACTGGCGCGCAGTGCGACCGGAAGTAAAACAGACAACGCCCAGGTTGCACGAGGGCTGCGAGACATTGAGGGGAAGAATGCATCCTTCCACCCAGAGGGATAGATAAGCAGGCCAAATGCCATGTTGGCACTCTATTTGAAGTCTTCATTGTTGCATAATTCCGTGTTCCGTGTTGACATACAATGTCCTCGACAGACACTTACGATATCAAAGTCACGATGCACCGCCTCTCCCGCCTTCTCCTCTCAGGGCTAAGAGCCCTCAACCCGCAATGCCCGCTGCATCCCAGGGCCAATCCATCTTACAATTCGAGTTATCGGACAACGAATCAGCGTGCAAAGGGCAAACACATCGTTCAACCCGCAACTCGAAGCCAGAACCGCGCCCGAGCCCGAGAAAATAGCATCGATTCGAGCATCGAGCTCGCTCCCCTACTCCCCCTCGAGTTTGTCTAAACTTAGGGAAAATGTCGAGGTAGTGGAAGGAGGCCAGGAAATCTATATAAATTCATTGTTGTCTTATGGATAAAGCCGGGAAATAAGGCATAACAGGTCTATGAGGGTTCTTTGGTGATAAGTAGACTGTGAGGCCTCGTATGAAATCTCTCGTATCATGTCATTAATATAATCCGTTGTCTCTCATTGTTGGCGTAGTATTCCCCGCGACTAAATTCGAGGGTCACAGCTTAGATACAGACGAATGAAATCGTAATATTATAGCCTGCGAATCACCAACAACAGACTCATGAGGATTCATCCAAAGCGTGGCTTTTGGACCGATGTCTCATTGTTTAATTCTTTATAAAACGTGCTTTTTTGTACTCCCTTGACAAATCTTACGACCTCATTCTTTCATCTTTCCTCGCGAGACATTCAGGCTCATCCGAGAGCCTTTAAAAGGGCTCAGGCGGCCGTGATTCCATGGAATAAATCCAATGTAACACATCTTCGCCCAGCGTGGGTGCTCACCATCAAGGAGATAGCTGGCTGGCTGAGACCAGCGTGGCCGCGCGCTATCTGGGACGTTAGGAGCAGAGCAAGCAAGAGATACCACAGCCCCTCCGTCGCTCTTCAACGTCGGTGGCCACTATTCTCTCTGGTGTTTTGACATGTACCTATATATAATACGCCGTTGTCGTATTATTCATCGAGATACTCTTCACACTGGGCCCTCATTATGTGCAAGTCCATCTCAACTTGTTTCCTAAACGCCGTGGATGGAGACGATGATCTCTCGTTGGATAGGCAAACTGAACCATAGAACCGCCCCCTTATACAAGAGCTATCTGGAATGGTATCGCGCTCTTACCGTTTCCGAATCGGACTACTTATAACGTCCAGTCCGAGGCCCTAATGAGAACCCTACCAATCTGGCGTCATTGTGTGCCGTATCTTCTTTGAACTCAAACACATATCGTGAAGACGTAGTGAGATCAAATTCATTTCACATATTCTCGCGCCATGTCTTCCAATCGGAATTGCCTTCGCTCTCCGCGATCCGTCAGCGTCTTTCTGTGGGTTATTCCCACCATGATAAGAAAACGAAGCAATGTCGAGGAAACCTCCCGGTAAAATGCCTTTCGACTTTAGGCCACTATCATCGCAGGTAGACAGACCTCCCAAGGGCTTGACGACTTCGTTGCCGTTCGTCCCAAACTGAACAACAACATTGATGGTGGAAATTCTTTCGTCTGCCCTGATAAGCTCGGCACATTACTTGCTTGATATGGCTACGACAAATACGGCCAGGGTGAACGCACACTACTTGGGTAACCCGAATGAGGTGTGAACATCGCGCTGCGAGCCCCTGGCTTAGAGACATGCCATGCTTCCAATTTTGAAATGCCAGATCGGACTTCTCGCTCGACATGAACGGACGAGGATATCGCGAGCGCGCATGCTGCGGTAGCTTTTCATCATATATATGACGCGAAATCAACAAATCTGGCCCGGTGTCCTCAGCAAACGGTAGATCACAAGTCTCACAGTGATACGTATATAAACCGCTGAATAGAGGGGCACCGACGAGAACACTGACAACAAGAAGGGAAGGGAGCGTCTCGGAGTTGACGCGCATCACCCCGGGAAGCTTTCACCAAGTGCAGTATCACGGTCGAAGTCTGGCACTTAAGAATAAAAAGGACAGGGCCTGCATCCATACATCGCAAGATGGTGGGACTTGGCCCATGACGACAAGCGTGCTTGATGAAGTCAAACACACAACCAAATTGCTTCAACATCGACAGTTCAAGCGGACTTCGACATCAAAGTCCCGAAACGACACAGTAGGACCTTGGCAGCCCCAAAGTCGCCTCCAAAGACAGCATACAAAAGAGCTATTGCTCACCACGAGCGCCTCACCCGTCGTAGTGCAGAATAGACTTGGCATC